CAGATTTACACACTTGAATTTGCAGTGTAATTTCTATTGTATCGCTATAAAAAAATTCTAATCTTTACAAGCTGATATTATGGGCAAATTAGATAAATTAATCCGTTAACGTGCTAATTTACATCGATTTTGTACAACGTAACAATATAGAGCATTACGACTACATCTTTAAATCGTAAATTGTTCAAATTGTCTTCTAAAACAACATTTATACATTGCGACGAACAGCATTTAAGCCCCCAAGATCTTTTTCACAGAGTAACCTGGTATTGCATAAAAGAATAAGAGCAGAAGTATGATTAATCCGATCGCAATTACAGCTTTCAGGATAGCCCATTTATAATTGTGCCAAACTATGTACTTGATAGACTTCAATGGATTGAGAAACCACATGAAAGATGCATCCGGTCGACTGCAAAAGAAATAAAAATATAGAAATTAAAAGTAGATTAAATGTAAAAAGAGAAGAAATTGTTATTATACTGACTTTGGCTTTTCCAATGGGTCAGGCTCGTTTCTTCCGAAACCAGCCGGAATTTTCTCGGCCTCTTCTTTCGTGAGCAAATGTATCTCAGCTTCAACCTTGCCCTGTGCGAAGTAATAAAAGCAGGATTTTATCATGAAATATAATTAATATAAGTATAAATTTAATATATTTAATTTAAAAAATTTAAAAGATGGCTATTTTTAATATGAATATATAATTAATATACTACATATATATTAAACTTTTATATTTATATGTATATATTTGATACTTCTGGCGATACAGTTTCCGCTTGATCCGATAAATTTCTACGCGAGTGAATTATATTTTCAAAAGTTGTTCCGCCTAATAAACATTTTTAAAGCAATTTTTGTCACCATCAGCACGACACTCGACGAAAATGTGTCGTGCTGATAATTTAAAGTAATATCTTTAATCTCACCGTCAGCTCCATATCTTCATTCTCTTTCTTTACGTAAAACGGCCACCATCCCTTTATACGTTTCTGCTTGAAGATATTGACCATTGGCACAGAACCGTCTGTTTTTAGCATGCCCAGTGAGCAGAGCTTACTATTTTTTGCTCCTCGGGGAAATCGATTGAGATCAAGCGTTATCGCGCCCAAGAAATCATCTGCTGAGAAATGATCTGCATCCCAGACCTGCAAAAAGCGTAATTCTTATTTATTCGGACGAGATTGAAAATAAATCGATTGCATTACCTGCAATTCTAGACGTGCTGGTATTTTACATTCGGTTTCGTCCCAGCTAAATAAGCTTTCTTTACGATTGATAACGATCTTCTCTTCCGCTACCAGATAATCGAATGGAAATATGAACCGCCAGTTAAAGTTTCCTTCGCCGGTCAATGATCGATAATGAATATCGGTAGATTGACAATCCTCTGGTCCTTTTAGCCATCTGTTAAGCAACATTGGAGTCGTGATTTGCAACATAATTATATTTTAATATTCAAAGTCTAAAAAGTGGACCTAAATAAGACACAGATATAATTATATACATGATCTTGATAAACGAGTATTTCTCAAAATATATTTTTATACTAATTTTATACTTCTTTTTTTAATTAATTTTGTTTTAGAATTTTAGAAATGCATAATTATTTATTATAAATTAAATAAAATTTCGAGGTAAAATGGTGTTTTGATTAATTTATTGGAAAGAAAATAAAAAATGATCTGAGAGAAATAATTTAAGAAATATTTTATAGCTGAAAGAAACTTGTTTTTATTTATTAATATTAATAGTAATTTAGATTAACAATCATTTAATCCAATTATATATAAAAAAAAGTTTGTGAAAAAATTATTTTCTTCACGAATCTATATATTTACCCTTTTACATAAATGTCGCTCATTTTCTCGCCGGTGAAGAATGCGTCATCTTCCAGAACGACGTCGTCTGTATTCCATATGATTACTCTCAATTCATAACTCTTGGGTTTTCTCGGTGAAATATCAAGGGATGGTCCGGGCGACGGCATGTCCATTGGAAACATGTCCACCCACATTTCCAATTTTCCCTGCTCGATACCGGGTTTCTCAGGATTATAGAGTGGTCGGGTCTCCACGTGCTCGGGTACCAAGGAACAACCTATTCGCGGAAAGGCGTTCCATTGGTGGAGAACGGCTAAAGCGAGGTGTTCTTCCATTCCTAAAAAAGTAAAAATAATCCCTTATACGATATAAGATTTTTATATCAACGTCGCGTATTTAGAAGCTGCGTAAATCATATTTTAATGTATTATGTTTGATTATTATACATATTTCATATAATTTTATATGTTGTGTAATTTATCCACTTATGTATATTTCCTTTGCATACATTCTCTTTATGTATAATAATTATTAATTTTTTTCGACACGTAATTAGATAAATTTCAATTAAATAATTTATTAAATAATATTTGTATACGAGATATATAATAAATTAGATTACATATAAGAAAACTATGGATACATATATAATTTATACATTTAAACGCTTTAAAATATTGATTATGTATTTTATACATTTCAATCTTCTCACATACCCTTTGTATGCACATAATATTCCATCTCCTCGTTCGAGAGGGAGAAGGTTTTCCTGCCGATTGTAACGCGCCCGTGAGAATACACTGGTCCATCGATTTTGCCATCTTTGCATAGTTTCGAAAGTATCTGAGTCGGTTTCATTGCATCCCTCCATTTATTATATCCAGATCTGGAACAGAAATAACGTTTAATCAGCCTTGTGCATCGGAATTTATTTGCGTTCTCGCATTTGGTTCTTTTATCGGGCATGTTAATCTAGAAGGTACAATATGTTATTTCCCACATACACACACACACATACACAATGTAAAATTTAATTGATATGTGTTAGTGCGAAAATAATATACACAAAATTATAGCGAGCAGTAAATTATAGTACGCTCTTAAGAAAATAGTCTCAAATGCGTGTTAGACAAAAGTTAGATTATGGTGAAAAAGTATATAGTCATTAGTTCTCGTTAAAAGTTCTTCGTGTGGATTCGAAATAAATGGCTACTGCTGATGTGATAAAAGTCGCTCTGTTGTTAGATTACTGAATTGCGTGACACAATTTGTTTCATTGCTGGAAAGGGCTCTCATTTGCCATGTACGACGTTAATATAATGCTGCTATGTACATAAACTCACTCGTCGTATTTCTTCGCGAGTCCGCATGTAGCTCGATGTCTACTGTAGAAGCGATTTTCCAGATCGATCTTGGTCTCGCCGATCATGTCGTCTGTTCCGACCAGGTCCCAATCCAGGACTTGCACCGTCAGCAGAGAGTCCTGCGGAAATGTCGCCTCGATCTCGAAACATCTTGAATATAAATATGCAATTAGATTCAAAATGCGCAGAAATAACGATGCTTTAATTTTTGAAAATAAAAAGACACGAAATAAAAAGAAAATTAAGAAGAACCTTTGCAAAGTTTATGCTTTGCAAATTATAATTTTCTTCTGAGAAAGTGTTTTTTAAATCTAAGAATGTAAGAAATAATATGACATTAAGAAACGAAAAATACAATTTTTAATCTGTTATATGCAGAATAATATGCATAAGTATATAATTTATTGAAAGTCAAGCTTAATAGAAAGATAATTTTCCCGAAAGTTTAAGTTAAGTCTCTGTACTGTCAGAATCCCTTTAATTGCGAAAAATTATACGATTATTGCATTGCTATACGATATCAACAAAACACATACTTTCCGAAGACGGGATTCAGTTGTTTCGACACGTAATTCTCCTTATCGCTGATCCTCTTGCCTCCCAATTGTAAGACCACATAGGGATCCGCTTTCCCGTTCAGATCGCAGGGATGAAGATCATTAGCTTTGACGATGTACACCCGTACCAGAACGTGGATAGGCTCGTTCGACGGGACACCCTGGAAGAATCCGTACTGCGGATCGAAACCCATCACGGTGTGATCCACCAGATCCTTGGGCAGCGGCCACTTGTAGACCTTCAGTGCGCCCTTGAAGCTGCCGACAATCCTTGACTCGTCCTCGGTCTCGTCGCCGGTCTTCTTGCCTCGATACAGTTCGAAAGTGTGTAACCATTCCTTAAACTGCTCGAACTCGGGCTGCGCCTCCAGCTCTCCAGGATAAATCTTCAGTAGGGCGATCTTGTTGTACTTGTGCTGGATTTGCTTCGGGCTGAGCCTCGAGACGAACTTCACCGCGTTCGTCGGTGATTTTAGACCAAACAGTCTCTTCGTGGGATTAATTCCGGGATTTTTGTCGCCCGAGACGGCCAACTGGCTTTGCGTGACAGCGTCGTCTAGGAGCATCGTTAGTGTTCCATTTGGCTGGTTCTGGAATAAGGATTTCTCCT